GTGGCCAGTGACCAGTGATTAGCGTCAACCTCACGGTGCAGAGGTACCGGGTTCAATTCCAGCTCCGGCTTCCCTGTGTGGAGTTTGTATGTTCTCCCCGGGCCTGTGTGGGTTTTCTCTGGGTACTCCGGTTTCCTCCCACATTCCAAAAACATGGCAATCTGAGTGAACACTCAAATTTGTCGCTAGGTGTGAGTGTGAGCGCGGTTGGTTGTTCGTCTCTGTGTGCCCTGCGATTGGCTGGCAACCGGTTCAGGGTGTCCCCCGCCTACAAGCCAAATCATGCTCGGGTATTTACTTTCTGCACCTGGATTTCACACCTCTGCTTACCACATGGAGTTGCATTAATCATATGCACCATATTCTAAATTAACAAAGAACATTTCTGGCCTGTAACCATGTCATTGGTTGTTGAAATTTCCTTTGCTAATCTGTGGGAAAAAAGATTATTTGGACAAAGTTGTCTTTCGCAAAACTTTTAAACCAACTGCAGGGGGGAATACTCTTTTTACTCGATCGTTGACATATAAGTGTCCCCTAAAGGTAAAATATAAAAGACAGATTTTGGTGTGTGGAATCATGTGATGCCCTGCGTTTCCTTTTCAGCCCTCACACTGTCTCTCAATCACCGCACATTAACGTCTCTGAATTCATGGTGCTCCTGCTTGGTGCTATTGGCAGCCATATATTATTTGGAGTAACACGCCTGGAGCATCATACTCCCCAACCAGAACCAGTTTGATCTCTCCACCAAGCTGCATTTACAAACAATGAATCTTACAGCAGGGAGAAAACACCGGAACCCTCAAAGGAAACCGAAAAGCCGCGAAGGTATGAGTAACCTTTATTAAATAGAGGACAAATATCTCCCTTTACGCTCACATTTTCCACCTGGCACATCCAGGGCTTATTTTCGAAAACTGCAAATGGCCTCTGCCTTGCCTGTGCACTAACTGCGTTGAAATTACAGTGCAGCCTCAATGGAAATGATCTGGATAACGTGTGGTTGAAGCACGCCGGGTTGAATTACATGGCACAAGGAAAAAAAAAACAATCAACTGGTCTATGAGTTCTGTTTAAAATGTCATTTAATATTTGTATTTCGATTTTGGCAGTGGGTGGGGATGCGAAGAAGCAACAGGATTGCAGTTCACCGAATGAATCAGAGCTTCGGCTTGGAAGAATAGCTGACCTATAGAGCCTGTGTAATCCACCCATTGTACTATCAAGTACTATCAAACAGTTTGCTCGCATGTATTTGTTTGCGTCTCTCTGGGTTGTCATTAAGTGTCAAAATAAAATGAACAAAACGTTTTTTTACAACTATACTGTCAGTCAGTTCACTTTTTGTTGCTTATACTTTATTGGATTGTTTTTGCTTGCTGTGTTTTATTCCCAAAATGTATTCCTTTTATTATCTTGGTTTTCACTTGAACAACGATGAATAGATAAATAAAAAAATAAATAAATAAATAAATAAAGACGATCCAGCCTTTATCCTATTTAATTTTATGAAAATAAACCCATTTCTATTTGACTGTGATCAGTTACAATTCATCACAATTGTGCAAAGTACATTTTGTTCCAGTGAACATTCCGATATATAATTATGCAGGAATTGCTGATCGGGAATAAAATATTTGACAGGAACCTTTTAAGTACCTGTTAAAGAAAGAAAGAAAAAAAAAAGCAAAGCTGCGATTTACTGGTAAGTGGTCAGACTGGAGAAAAAAAAAAGATACAAATCCTTTCTGTAGACCACATTACCACCAATACTAAAATATATTTATAGGCATATTACAGTTTCATAGTTCTGTTTTTTTGTTAATTATTATTAGACTCACCACCCTCAAAGCTGATTTTCAGAGGAGAGTAAACAATTCATTGGAATTTAAACGGTTCTCTAATTGCACACAATTTGGAGCACAAATTGCCAACACTAATGCGGCTATTATTATTCAATTAGAACAAGGGAGAAGAAAAGTTGGACGGGTTTTTTTCTTCTTTTTTTTTTTTGGCTACCTAAATCGAAGCCGAACTACACACAATTGATATTTTCAAAGACATCATTACTAAACACCAAACTTTTATCACCGACACTAAAGAGTTTGCCATTCCTCACGTTTTAAAACTTAAGAGATAAAGAGATGTTCGAGGTGCTTGTTGTTCTCACCCTCATTAGCATACCTCATTTCATTGCCGCGACACTATCTATTGGACTTTGTCTGCGACATCCTGATGAACATTCCAGTTGTTAATCACGCATTCAATACACGTATCCCTTTGGAGGCGTTCCAGCCATCCATTTTCAATAGCGTTTGTCCTCATTGGGGTTGCGGGGTGAGCTGGAGCGTATCCCAGTACATCCTGGACTGGTTGATAGCCATTTGCAGCCTTTGAGAAGTTTGCCATCGTAAAAGAATATTCATTAGTCTCGACGACATCTGCTAAGAATGCATATTGCCGACGCTCAGCCGCAACCGCCTGCTATCGCAACGTGGCTAGCGATAGCGTTGTGTGCTATCAGTTTATTGAGGTTATTTCAAAGTGACTCTCCCGATGGAATATTAATTTGATCCGGCAAAAATGGGGATTAATAAATGCCTTTAATTGTGCTGATATTCTATGACACCTCCGTGTTTCGGATTCACTGTTTCTTTATTATGATGTCAAAATGAACAAAATGACGTTTATTTGAGCCCACTCCTCAGTTGTGTTTAACCCTTTCAGGGACAGCGGTCACTACAGTGGGCAGCCTATCATGTTCCAGGTTATCATTCTTGGAGCATGAAAGGGTTAATGATAAAAATGTTTCTGATGTGTTCATGTGTGGACCATCTCTAAATGGAGTTTGCACGTTCTCCTCATGCTTACGTGAATTGACGACTCAAAATATGCCCTGCGATTGACGAGCGACCAGTGCGGGGTGTAACCTAGCTTCCAGCAGGGATACGATCCAGTACCGCCTTAATGAAAACAAGCAGGATAGACCATGAGAGGCTGGATGGATGTGATGAAAAATGTAGCCTGTGCAGGGAATACTTTGCTTTGTTTTGAAAGTTCAACCACCGGCACAGAAGTGATTGTTGGCAAACTTATTACTGGATTGTCTCTGAGCGCAAATCTTCCCATCTTTTTTTCCCCCTATTTGGTGGGCGGGGCTGTTTTGATGTAGGTTCTCTAAAGGGATGCCATTAATGACTCCAAACATCCCTACTTAACTGGGCACGGGCTGGTTTGCCCATCAAGAAAGTGTAGGTAATCTTACGGAACACAGTTTTCTCTGGTTGTTTCTCCATCCAAATACTCACCATTGGATCTTAGAAGATCATACAGCTCCTCATCCAATTTTCTATTTTCAACGCATCTTTTTCATGTACTCACGTGCCGGGGTGGCAGTGCTGCTCTCCTGTGCCAGTGGAGGTCCGCACCCTGCCCGGGTGCAGGCACTGAGGTGGAAGAGATAGAGGCTGCCCTCTTCTAAGCCCTCCAGCTGCCAGTGGGTGGTGTCGGGCCCTGTGATGTTCATTTCCCAGGAATCCCGCGCCTCCTTTGTGGTCTCATTAACTACAAGAAAGACATGACGTCAGTTTAAGTGGTGCAAGTGAGCTGAGAGACACGGCGGATGTCCGAGACGTCACCAGCACATGTTGTATGTTAATGGGACAACGCTGAACTCAGGGTCAGCGGCCAGGGGACGGGCAAGGATGAAGAGGTGTCATGCTCACTCATGCGAAAAAGCAAAATGTCGCAGATACATGTCGTGACAGGTGAGCTGAGCAGGAATACATTAAGATGTCAAGAGGGAGATGAGGCGGAATATATGGAACTCAAAAGAAGCGGGGGAAGACTTTTAATAAGTGGCAGTTGATGAAGGGGGGAGGAAGCAAAATGGGGAGAATCAGCATTCTAAAAGTGGGTAAACAAAGCCGCAAAAGTAGAAGAAAACTCGCAAATGCAGAAGAAAGAGGAAAACATTTGCATAAAGTGTAGGCGGCGCATCGAAGTGGGAATATAGGGGCAATCAGGAGCAGTCAAACATATCACCCAACATGCATTATAGATCAAAGTGCAGCGCCGGCGTGCCGAGTGCAGGAAGCAACAGTGATGCCAATGTTAAAATGCAGGTGAGGGCTGATCCTGTGCCAAAGCCGCTCGCCGCCACTTTAGGAGCTTTCATGTGCTGATGAGCGCCACCGGGTTAGTCCTCGGCTAATTTAGACGTACCTTATTGGCACAATCAACATAAAATTATATTTTGAAATGTGGCACAGATAGGCGGGGGGGGGGGGTCGGGGGGGGGGGGGCTATCATATCGAGGCGCTATCATATCACGACACCATTCAGTCAATGAAAATGTGAAAGAGCAAAGCCCCTCACTCTGCAACATTTCTCATGCATCTGGGAAAAGCTGGTGAATGGCGAGGGGGTGGGGAGGGGGTTAGGAGGGGGCACCGGGGCAAAAGCAGCCTACACATGAAAGATTGTTTTCGGGAAAGAATCTGCACTCCCAGTGGATGCGAGACGTTAAGAAGTCAACACTCTTTGGGGTGTTGGTAGAGCCTTGTTCAGAACTAAACACTGCCATCTAGAGTTGAACATCGACTCATACACAGGCTTTCTTTGATTCCAATTATGTTACCTGTATATTCAACCCGGAACGCTGATTCACCGGGGAAATCAATACAAACACGAGGAAAAGGCTCACAATCCTTATCATGAAATAAGTCCCTGCGGTTTGTCAGTCTCCTATTCCTAAAAGCTCTTTCCTGTGTACCAAATTAAACCGGCTATGTGGCAATGCAAGCATGCGACCTGACCGCAAAAACAAGTCAGTCAAATTTTGCTTGTCTAACAATGCTATTTCCAAAGCGCAGCAGTTTTTTTTTTGTTTTTGGTCGAATGTGTAACATTGCTGTTTAGAGGAATGTAAGGACACTAGAAAACGTTTGGTATAACCTAACTGAGGTGATTGATTCATACCCCCCCCAAAAAAAGAAAAATCTGATGAAATTAATTTACATTAAACCTTTCATATACATTCAACCTGTTAAACAAACCATATGTACGTCAAATATTGGACACATTGCCTCCCATATGTAAAATCGAACGTGGTACACATATTCATGCATACAATCCCAGAGGGCTTCAGTATGTATGAATCGACCAGCCGTAGGTTATTGTGATGTGTGTGTACGTGTGTGAGTTCCTGGGTACACATACTGAGGTGGTACTGCAGGAGGTAGCCAGTCAGGATGCCGTTTGCAACCAGCGGCGGAGCCCATACAAGCCGGATGGACTCTTTCTGGGCATTGGAGGTGGTCAGAATGGGCACTTGTTCCGGAACTGAAAAATAATTAGAAATTGCACTCGTATCTCTCCAAACAACTAGTTCCCATTTTTGTCTGCCATTTTTGCACGGGTGTGAAGGCTGTGAGTGCTGAAGGAACAACCGGGTGTTCGTAACTCAGTACAGCATCTAGTCGGCGTGTTCATCTCACCTCCCTCTGGAGTGTTGAAGGTGACTGGGTCACTACTCGGCCCGTTTCCCTTCTTGTTGAAGACGTTGACAGTGAGCGTATACTCTGAGAAGGCGTCCAGGTTGGGCACAATGGCATGCGTCCTCTTCCCGGGAAATGACAGCGTGTGGCGCTCATCCAAGATCTTGTCTGGATTCAGGAAACTTCGCTTCCGCAGCCAGTGAACCTGGAAGAAGCAGGCAATGGGGAAATGCTGACCAAGAGAAGGGTTCAAAAAATTGGCCATCCAACGAGATTTAACCACGGACCTGTTTTGTTTCCAATTTTCTCGTCATTGAAAATGAAAAGTCCATTCGCAGCTGTACCTTTCAGATATAAAAACTGTCAAAAATGCTGGGGGATTCATGAGTACTGTCAATGCAGAACGACTTGAGGTCAAATTCAAGCTTAAGGAATTATTTGAGTGAAATGGTCCCTGTAAATCAAACAATAATCAATACAGTATATTAAGTGTTACCTGGAAAAAAAACGGTCCCATGAAGTGAACACAATATAGAATGTTTATTGTGTTATATGTATCGAATGTGGTGAATCTGAAAATAGTTTTCATGGGACTTAAATGTTTGTAAGTTCATTAAAATAACGAGCCTTGGGCAGACGTGACTGTAATGCACTTTACTTTGGAGTCAGCCAATCCTCCATTAAGCGTCACCAGTTGGTCCAAAATGCTGCTGCTCGCCTCTTGACTGTTACTTGTAAGAGGGAGCACAAAACTCCTACTTTGGCATCCCTTCACTGGCTCCCGATACATTAGAGTTCTTTTTAAGATCCTATTATTTGTTTTCAAATCTTGAAATGGCCTCGCCCCACCTTACC